ATATATGCTCTTTAAAAACTCCATCTCTTGATGAGTAGATTAAAACACTTGGGTAGTTCCCGCTTTTCAGCTACTCCAATTAATGTTGCAATGAGTCCTAGCAGAGAAAGATCTGAGTCCTTGATTTCTTGTCTTTTGGATACAGACCAAATTCCAAAAGCCAAACTCACTGCCATTGAGTCCATTCTGTCCCCGTAAGGACTGAGGAGAACTGGCCCGGTGGGTCTCCCAGATTGAAATTTTATAAGAGTAGCCACTCTCATCTTTCTCCTGCAGATCAGCTGGTGGTTTTGAATCTCTAAACTGCCGTTAGCAGCCTAACTTGTAACATTATGCCTCCAGCAGTCCAAACTATAGACAAGTGTTTCCCAAAGTGAGTGATACCACCACCCCGGGAGGGGAACCGCTGGAATGCTCCAGGGGGGCTCCAAAAGCAGATACGTGCACTTCTTCCGGCATTATGGGCTGTGGTACAAAAGTTCTTAGTTGCCAAGGGAGCAGTGATTTTTTTTTTTTTTCCAGAAAATGGGAGGTAAGCCAAATAAGTTTGGGAACCTAGGAAATAAAGATCAAGGAGCGGAATGCCTGAGTCATACACTAATTCTTCATCACTTGTCTGTCAGTTTGCCCTACTGTGGTGGTTTGTGTGTTGCAGTGATGCTGGAAGTGATGTCACCCATATTTTAAATACCAGCAGGGTTCCCTGAGGGTCAAACAGAACAGGTTTCAGCAGAGCATGCAGACTAAGAACAGACTATGAAGAAGGAATCAGCTGCTAACTTCAGAGGAAGTAGCCAGTAAAAACTTGATGCCTAGCTTTGAAACATTGTGGAGTACTAAAGACCTAATGAATGGAAGCAGAACATTGTCATCGATAGTGCCAGATGATGGGCCCCTTGGGTCAGAGGACACTCGAAGTCTGACTGAAGAAGAGCTGCTTTCTCAGATTGGAGTAGACCATGATGATGTGAGAGGGGGAAAGCCTATGAGGGACTCCTTCGAGATCTTCATTTCTTCAAGGTATGAAGAAACTGCTGCAAAAACCTGCTCATGATCAGAACCTGGAATGTACAAAGTACATAGGAAAATTGGAAGTTGTAAAAAATGAAATGCATAAAGATCAACATTCTGGGCATTAGTGAGCTGAAATTGACTGGTATTGGTTATTCTGAAACAAAATAATAAGATTTGATATGCATGGAATGACAAAATCAAAAGGAATAGCAGTGCATTCCTTATCAAATATGACATTGCAAAATTATTCTTGTGCTGGAAGAGCCCCAATAAAATGATTTATATTTTTTAAAAATCAGTCTTGATGCTCACCCTCATGAAGAGGTCACTGGAAGATAT